AAGGAGATATCCTTCCGCGAGGAGGTTTTACTATGGTTCGAAACATTTCTGTCAGCAGCTGTTTCTCGCGATCGGCTGGACGGATTGGTCTGTTGTTCGGTATACGTATTGCTATTGGGCTGCAGATGATGCAGAACGTTTTTGTTTAATTGCATATGTGTTTATGGGCGTCGAAATAAATTGTTTTTAAGTGCTCCGGACACCCCCGCCATGCTGAAAATGGAATTTACCATGTTGTTAAGGAATGGGGAGGTTGCAGTTTTGGGTCTTAGCATTTAAAAGGGGTCAAACAGAGGGGTGTCTGGTTCCGATAAAAAATTTGGGTGACGGCGCAGCAATGACGGCGGGGGTAATGGCGCGGGTGACGGTGCAGGCTGTCAGACACGTTAATCAACAGTCCATACCAAACCAACCGTCAGTAGCCATCAAACACATACAAACATATTACGCACATAACTTTCATACTACACACAAACAAATAACCTAAACCAATAGAATACAAAAAAAACCTGGAGGTTTGAAATTTTCCTTGTTTAAGTTACTTTGATTTTGTATCAATTTGAAATTTGTGTAACTTTATTTATCATTTTTGTTGTTATCTGGACTGAGTTGATTTTGATGTTAATAGCTTTTGTTTAGGGTCCGCGTCGGAAACATTGAGAAGCTCTCTCAGGCTATCTCCTGGTTAATGGCATAAAACAAACAAACAAACAAACAATAAATAAATAAAATCCCGCCCCCACAGGACCGCCCGTCTTCTCGCGAGAACAACTGGATGAAGATGAACAAGAGGACCTCGTTCTCGCTCAAGGTCAAAGGTGGGCTGGCCCTGGTGACCTCCGGCATCAAGAAGGACGACAACGACACGGGTGCAAAGATCGACAAAGTCGCTAGGGTGCTGTTTCCTACGGCTTTCATCATCTTTAACCTGGTGTATTGGCTGTGGTATGTCGCTAACGTGTAAACACACTGATCTGGGAGGACTAACTCTAAGGCCTTGCATAGTAGCCTTGGTAACTGTAGTCTCCATAGCATGCCAAAAACTGGGGGTTTGGGGGTCTTCAGGGTCTTTGGGATCTTTTATGTGCTATTATATAGACAACATAGCCGGCCTGGTTGAATTACCCCTGTTTTATGGCTAATAAGAAAACAGCCGAAGACCACCAATTCAAACCTCCGGTTCTATAAGCCTGCTACGGAGGCTAGCTAATTGATGCTAGTGTACATGTAGGGCTGACTTTTACAACAGTGCCAACACAAATAGAGTACATAATCCAAAACAACAATACAGTGTTCTAGCCAGCGTCTGTCTTTCTGTCATTTGACAGAATTTTGCTACTCATGAAAGACAATTTTGCCCTATTTGTCGTCTTTGACGGACAAAATCGGCGTGTAGAGATATGAAAAGAGATGTCATCAAACTAAGCTTAGTCTACCAGCAAAATTCGGCACTAAGAATGTAGGAACTAACGTTTCAGATTTTCAAGATTTCAAAATTTTTTAACAAGCCCTCGGACCACCCTTGGATTGTTGTGCCTTCAGCGCTCGACATGATGTTACATCAAACAAAATTGAGATAACGGAAAAAATTCATGTTTTTTTCACCTTTTCATATTTTTTCACCAATAAGCGCATGCTACATTTCATATCGTCACCCTTGACATATTACAATTAGCCTTCTACTGTGACCTTGTACATTTTTGTGATTCACGTGTGCCAGATGCAGGGGTGCCAGAGTATACAGTGCAGTTTTACGGAATACAGTACAATTTTACGGAATACAGTACATTTTTACGGAATACAGTACACTTTTACGGAATACAGTACAGTTTTACGGAATACAGTACAATTTTACGGAATACAGTGCAATAATACGGAATACAGTGCAATCGTATTAGTATACAGTGCAATTTTGCTAGATTCCGTAAAATTGCGCTGTATTCCATAAAGTTGCACTGTATACTCTGGCACCCCTGAGATAGTCCGCGCATGTTCAGAATATGCTTTTCTTGGGTGAATGCCCGTGAGTACTTACTACACCACAAGGGGCAGAATAAACAAAAACCTAGGGACAGAAAGGATACAATTGTTTTATCAGTGTTGAACATTCTACGAGCATGGGTAGTCAAAATATGGAGGAACTATCTGATAGTCGTTACGAAAGGAAATACACCGTGACAGAGGAAACATTACAAAAATACATGATTTTTATTACTTAAGTTGTATTTTTGGT